AATAATTTAGTCAGACTGAGGTTAATTTATGCTCGCACTTTCAGTCAGCTAATCCAGCCAATGGCACAGACTTGTTCTATTCCCGTAAGTATTGTGCTAGATATAACATGGCTAAGAGGCCTTGAAAAATCGCTTTTACTCGACTTCGTTGGCTAGTCAAGATGAGCAATCCTTGTTCACAGCTAAACAGCAAAGTTATAAGAGATAAAGTGGAGTGTCACATAGTAGCAGCAATTGAGAAAACGTGTTCTGTTGTAGCATTTAAGTGTGTTTGGAGAGTAAGCGATAAAGAAATTCAACAAGCCTGGAATTGGATCTGCGAAAAGCCAGATGAATGTGATTTGGAATTATCGAAACTGAGCGAGGTTTGCTTTTTCTTTTCGGCAATAAGCACCTCAAAGCTTGACAGCAAAAAGAAAAAATCAACAACATCAGATGAAGGACGAGAAGTCGACGAGTCTAACGAAGAATCTGCCATAAACCCCTCGCAAATTTCAACGCCTGGAAAGCAAGTTTTCCCAGCAATTTCGTATTGGGTGGCTTGCCAAACTCAAAATGGTTCAGCTGTTAATCCCATGAAAATTCAACGTGCTCTTGGGAAATGCGGCCTCGAGTTCTATCTTTCCAGGGCATCAAGGAAAAAAAATTCTCACGACTTAAACCAACTCTGCCAAGTTTTAAAAGATCACAAGAATCCTTGCTTGATGAATTTTGTGGAGGCTTCTTATCAGCATTGTCTCAGGTTAGTATACTCAATGCAAAACTGTTATAGTAAAGGCTATAGTTAACCAAAGAAATCAACACCTAGGAGTCCACCCTTATTGTTGCCATCTTCTCGTTGTCAAGCAATGTCTCTAATTAACTGTTTTGACTCAAATACGTAACAATATGCAAGGGTGCAAGTGGCTTATTAAGTGCGATTTAGACCATCTGGGAATTTCAACACGAAAAAGAGCATTAATTCAAACTTTGATGCGCTACTCAAAAATTTATTCTGAGATAGTAAACTTGTCTGTTTTTTATTCTTTATTGACAGCGCCCTTCAAGACGAAATAGATATTAGTGATGAAGAACAGTCTCAAGAAATGTTGTCGACAGAAAATGTAGTTCGTGTGTGAGTGCTTAGGGAAGAATTCAAACCGATGATGACTACATCTATCCGAGAATTCCGCCGTGCTGGTTTGAAAATCGATTGTTTTGGTCTCTATGAAAACAAAAGCAGCACCCCGGGCGTAGAAATACCGTGTACACCATATATGCCATTGTCTTGCCCACTAACAGTTCTTTGTAACGACATCCATGCCGCAATGAAAAAGCTTCAGTTTAGTGTCTACCGGGGAGATGTGTACAAGAAAGTTGCAGAATCACAGTTTATTTTCAAGTTCCTTTGTTCCATGAAGTCATTTCTGTTAAATCTTATGGGGAACGAGTGCTTCAAAGGCAGGCTTGTCCAACATTTTCCAAGAGTTCTACCACTTCTGAGTGAGCCAGAAAGTTCCCTGATTGGCCAACTTAACATAGATCGAAACTTGGTTGAAGTGCAGAATGGCTGGTTTTGGTCTTTCTCTGAAGGAGCTTTTGTACAAGGAGTGATCCCAGAATCAGAGGTGAGGGCATACGTTTTCATCAGTAAAGGTTGTTTTAATTCCGTTATCACAATTTCCTTGGCTACAATTTATCTGCTGGCTAAAATGACAATGTATCTGTTCAATAGAAAAGTCGTTTTTCTGTTACTATACAACATAATTAACCTTGGAATATGTAAAATCAAGCGCTATTGAGTTTCGAGTCACCTAATCTAGGACTACTCCTAGTTTGTAGGTGGGTAAAGGTTTCTACTTCTTCTTTTACCTATTTATTACATGTTTGCATGTTTTAACAGTTCTTTTTTTTTCTTTTCTACAGCGAGGTATCACATCACCAAGAGCGTATGTCCTCTATGACAGCCTCCAACAGCCCGATCCTAAATACTTCGAGCAAATTCTAACCAATAGCCTACCTGAAGGGCAAATACAACAGTTTTGCGCTGATTTCCTCGCGCTATTCAGAGATAAAGAACACAAGCGACCTGTGCCATGTGCCATCAGAGCTTCTGACAGCGGCAAAACGAGCCTGTTCAGCCCAGTGTTTCAAATTGTGCCGTTAAGCCGAATCGCTCGTGTGACCAAACAGAAGAGCTTTAACAAGTCGATGATTGACAGCTCCACGGAAGTTATCTTTCTCGACGAGGCATACAACAACCTGCTCGACATAGATGACTGGAAGATAATTTGTCAAGGCAGTTTTACATCCCACGATGTAAAATGGAAGAAGGTCCAGGGGTGCCACTGCCGTGCAAGTATGTACATTACATGTCAACAGGAGATGGACTTTGGCGAGGCCCGCAATGACGCGATGAACCGAAGACTTCACAAGTTCTTCTTCAGAAGCTTGCCCCAAGTTAACCCGGAGGCCAACCAGTGGCTGCGAGAACATGCAATGGACTGCATTGTATGGGCCCAAAAGATGGTTGCTACAAACTCCACTACCGCACAGACTGGAAGGACTTTAGGAGAGCGTGAGGACGGTTTAGAAAGTGAAGACGTTCAGAGAATTTTGTCCGATTCCCTACTGGATGACCCCGAGTGCAACACGGAAGGCGGTGAAATCTCACTCACGGATGAAGAGGAGAGTGAAGCCGAAAGCGACAGCTCCGATGAAAATGAAAATAACAACCACATAGACAAGCTTCGCCATGAGCTCGAAAAGGCGGTGCCGGGTGGGTTTCGGCACAGACAGCTGAGCATGCTCCTGCGAAACGCTCAAACACAGCACAAAGCCATCCAAAATCGCCAAATCGCCGGACGTCGACGATATCTAGTAAATTTAGGAGTGACCAGCAAATCGCAGGCAGATCGACTGATTACGCATCCCGACGAGCTGCTACCAACCGACCTCGCTCGCAGAGAACAACAGGCCTTGAAAGATAGGGCAGAACGTCTCGAAAAGCAAAGGGAAAGAGATGAGCAGAAGAAAGAAAAAAAAGCATTCTCTAATCCGTGGCTGTTAGAAATAGAAAAAGAAATGGCCGAGAACAATATGTGTTTAGAGAGAGGCACAGACCCCGACATGAGTGCAACGCTGGGGAGTCTTTTGGAGATTGACTGTGAGAAACTCCGCACATTTCACGAAAAACAAGGTACCCTTCGCCTGCAGATGGCTGTGGAGAAAAGGAAAGAAATCTGTGTGAAACGTGGATTAGTGGATCCTAGGTACGCGAGTTCCGTTAGAGATGTGTACTCACCTTTACCGGTTATCGTCGAAGGTAGCAACCAAAACATGTCCAGGCCAACGGCTTCAAACGACGATGGTAATACGCCAGACACCATCTTACGACCCGCCTGAGGACACGCACCAGACGATGTTTACTCCACCTACGAGCAAGGAGGCCGTCGAATCGGAGAGCGAGGAAATGTTCATTACACCGAAGACACCTTGTTACGAGCCCTCATTTGATGAGAGCATTTGTACAGGCTCTTCACCATTACTGAGGCGAGTACCCTCACCTGACAACAGACCTTCGAAGCGAGCAAAACTCTCGAGAAGCCAAACAACCGTGGGACAGAAGCGGGTGACTAGCTTTTTCAGTTCGCAGAAACGTGTAAAAAAGTAGGGTCAACTTAGGTGCCCGTACATGCAATTTAAGATATACTAAGTTAAACTAATTTGAAGGCCTTTACGCCACAGAACACTTGGATTATTAATGCTTACTTGTCAGTTTTAAATATCACGTTATTTTTGCATGTTGTCTACGAAGCCCCATGATGGCATGGTCATGCCGAGAAATTCAGCCATTAAATAAATCATATTTACTTTATGGATTTAGCTTACATTATCTCTTCTTTCTATAGTTTTTCTCGCATTTTATGTAGGGCTAAAGTTTGCAATAATTCATTTATTTGAGTTCAAGAATTTAAGATAGCTACATGTCCTTGAATTCGTTCGTTAAGTAGGACCTTGTCAACGCTGTGTCGATTTTGAATATGATCCAAATCTTCGAGCGGCTCGGCTCAGAAGAGAGTTAGTTGTTCTTCCCTTTTGGAACTGAAAGTCGGGGTCTGTTAGAATCGCTTTCCATTGCCCAAATCCGTGCCGTTTAAGTCCAGCTTTGAGGAATTTGTCTTCCTCGGGGGTGAACATTAAACTCTTATGTCGCGTGCTTGTTTCGGTCACTCTGAACGCATTTTCGCGCCGCAATTTTGGCACTCCTACTAAAGGCTCGCGTGTTGTATCTGTAATTACGTCTTCTTCGTCATTAGAAGACGTATCGGTTTTGCCAGCATCTTGTTCTTGTGAAGAACTTGAATTCTCAGAAAGCCTAGAGCGTACGTCCATCTCTAGCTCTGATCCCCTCTCGCCCTGTAGCCTTTTTCAAAAATGCATGTGCTTTGCTGGTGACTTCACGAGATCGCCGTTTTTGATAGTGAACTCTTGCCACAATAGAGCTGTGTTTCTGGTCCTCGGAGATCGCATCTTGCGCGCTGCTGCTAAGAGTTCTAGAGCTTGCCGTCTCCACTATTTGGCGGTAGCGAGTTGGGTGAACATACTTGCCTGTTGCATCGAACACCAATTTACTCATTGCTTCTCCTAGCTTGTTATGCTGTCGACCATTTCTCGTGACTAAAACATAATCACAATTAGGCTTGAGAAGTGGGCGAATGTGGTTGATGTAGCCTTCTAGGACTTGCATACTGGTGTCTGTCAGGAAAAGGGAATCAAAACCATACTTTCCAGCTGTCTTGAATTGTTTTTGGTCTATGAATCCGCCGTTCGTCTTAGCTTTGTCGACCATTTCTACGGTTAGATATTGGTATGTCATCGGTCGTGAGCCTTTAACCTTGATAAACAAATAGACTGCCAGAAATTTGGTAGCGAACGATAACTCCAGTGGCGAAACAGTATCTGATTTATCCCTGCATGTTTTAAGCACGCTCTCGTAGCGCGGCAAGTAACGCCCCACCACCTCTAAAAGCTCTTCCATGGTGGCGCAGTGCCCCTTGGCTTCTAAAGCGTCAATATCGAGTTCGCTGGTCCATTGTAACCTCATCATCTTTGACACGGTTTTTCGCACCCTTTTTAAGTACATTTCTGCTGTGGAAAGGCCTCTCCATACTGTTTCTGATGCGCCATTTACTTTTCTGAAATCCGCTAATTCTGCAATAGCGTCCAAGTAACCTATGCGTCCCGCGTGTCCGAGTTTCCATTCATCCTGCATCGTATCAACGAATTTAAATAGGAGATTCGGTGAACATAGGCTGAAATCAACAATGCCAAATGTGAGTTCCTCTTCGTCTTCGCAACAGAATTTGAGAACCTTTATACACCTGCTGACAATTTGCTGTGCTTGTCGATCGCTTTTACAACCCCCGCCGCTGCCAGTTAGCCATGAGGAAAAACTCTTAGAAATGTTGTTTTTCAAGTCAAATGAGGCAATTGCTCTCGTTGTACGTGGAATCGTCCGATCGTTGGCTTCAATTTTCTCGGATTGATTGTGAAACGATTCCATTTGAGCACTGTTTGGCTTCTCGTCGAAGTAATAGTACCAGCTGTGTTTGTTCTTTACGTGTTTTCTACAGCCTCTTTGCGTAGTGAATCCATCGTGGTTACAAATCTGCACCGGGCAGTGAAAAAGACCATCGCAGTCATCCTCTTCTAAGTGAAGTCTCTTTGGTTTAGGCGATGCATTTGCTAACTTTGACCAGTTGACATCCTTGCCTCGTTTGTTCATCTTAAGCGTTAGCTTGAAATCGATATCTTTCTAAAGTATGCACGCACTTATACTAGCAAAAGGGTCCCCAAGAGATCATCCTATTCGCCACTGAGATATTTGTTAGCCCATCTCTGCCCACAGTTGGTCATTCTTGCCCCTTACCCCATTGTTTTCTTGTCCGTATTTGGTACAAAATTAATCAAAAGGAACAACGACATAAGCCTGAACTTGCGGGGGCAAGCCCGAACGCGAATGAACATGTAGCGGGCAAGTCTCGTACTTAACTTGATTGTTGACGGAAACATGTTTTGATAAATTTGTATAGCGGGGGTGATGGACAGTAGTTTCAGATAGCCTACGATAAATAGGAACTATTGTTCCCTATTCCTTTTTACACTTTGCGCGAAATGGAACGCTGGTTCCTTTGTCAAAAATTCGGAACCTGTTCCCATTTATAAGCGGAACATTACACTCTTCTTGAGGGACAAAAAACCACCTCGATTAGGAACAATTCCGTTCCTGTTGGGCATGAATAGGAACAATTTGAACGGAAAGGGAACAAGGCGTTCCGAAAAGCAGTGGATATGCCAGTAAATAGGAACAATTTGTTCTTTACTGTGTAGAGCGAGAAATTAGATTGGGAACATTTGTTCCCCAATCACTTCGAAAGGAACATGAAGGGAAATCGGAACTGTTGAAAGAGGAACTTTTGTTCCTGAAAGCATAAAAGAGGAACCAGTTGTTCCTTTTGACTAAAACGAAAAGGAACTTTGTGTTCCAGTTTGCTGCTAAGGGACCAGATTGTTCCGAAATTCGCCGATCTTTGTTCCTATTGTGCAAATAAAGTTCCTTTATTGTGCGTTCCTAGGTTGTTCCTAAAGCAATTAAAGGAACAAAAAGCAAAAACGCGCGGAACACTACGTTTTTGAAAAAGAGATGTTTCCTCGTGTGGCGTCACTTAAAATCAAACTTTGAAAGTTTCCTCATTGTAAAAAACGGCCTGACAATACTGAGGACAAAAATGCAATTGAAAACTACGGTGTTTTAACCTGAAATGTTGCTATCATTACTTTTGGGGAATCTATATGATGATGATGATGATTAGACTGATGGTGGACTTTGGACCCTTTTTTGTGGACTCGGCGACTCGAAAATGTGGACTTAAGGACCATGGTGTTGACTTTGAGACTTGGAGTTGACTTTGGGACTTACGGCAAAGTGGACTTGAGGACCTTTTGTGGACTCAACGACTTTTTGTGTTGACTTAAGGACTACGTTATTGTACTATCTTTACCATCCCTATATTATTCATTCTAACTGTTTTGACAGACAGTTCTATTGCACTTGAATAACACAAGTTGGACAAAACTTCTGAATCGATGTGACTGTGAGACCATCACTCAGCAGCCTTTGGGAACAATACGATCAAAATGAGCGTAGAACAGGAAAAGTTATTACGTTATAAAATGTAGTGTAATTACAGTCTATGACGACTGTGTGTAACAAAAATTATCCTTTATTTCAGTAATTTTTTTCCTTGAAACAATGCAATGAGAACAGCATTTGAGAAAAATAAGAAAATGGGCTAGAGTGGCTTTCAGTAGCAAATTTATTTTTGTGGCCACCGTCTGTGAAAACGAAAAACACAAACACCCCTAAACGTTCCGCGTTTGGCATTTCCACTAATTTCTGTTGGGTTCTAAACCATGTTCGTCTCAGTTGTGTTAAACAACAGACGAGTAAAACTACTAAGGTGTTAATTTGCAAGAAACTCTAACGCAAAGGTAACACTAATCAAACGTTTATTATTATTTACATCCGAGGGCAAAACTGGTGGTTGATGCACCAGAGGCCACAAGAATACTATAGAGAATTTGTAAAATCAGTCTAGTGGTCTATTACCAACGCTGTGTTCTGATTGGTTGAGCTACTACTAGGCTATATGTGATAGCCAACTAGTAGCGAAAAGTGCCGGCTTTTGGTGGCAAAAAGGACTAAAGTCTAGCTTTAACTAGCTAAAGTTGTTTTATCTCGATATTTTTGACCAACTAGTTGGATTTTACTGACACAATTATTCCTCTCGCCCTCATGGCCATTCCGACTCGAGGAATCATTGTTAAACATCCTTAACATAACCACGAAATCTACTACAGTGTACTAGGGTAGTTAAATTGTATAATTTTCGGACAAAAAATATGAAAATGCGCTAGAGTGGCTTCCGGTTGAACATTAAAAGTAATTTATGTATTGGCACTGTATGATTTCATTGTAGTTGCAAAAACGTACAACATATCTTCATTCTGCGTTTGCTATTTCCGCTTGTTTCTGTTATGTTTTCATTGGTTTCCAACGACCTCCTTTGCTGTGTTTGACGAAAAACGAGTTAACGTTTCAATTTATCGAAAACCACTCCTGCGCAAAAAGTAACATCAAACTGGTTTTTGATACTTATAAATCCGTGCGTAACAGATTGTTCGTATACATAAACGACGGTAGGACACTACAAGTTACAAGAACTAAACATGACCAAAAAATCGACTAACGAAGTAGTACCATTCTAGAAATTTCAAGGTGATCAGTGCACAAAACATCCTAAACCTATAGGCCACTTCCGAGTTCCAAAAGCCCTCACTCTCAAAATGAGGCTAAGTGCACAACCTTTTTTGTGAAAGTGAGTTTTATTTGAATGAGAATGAAAAAATCATTTCCATATCAGTGGCTAAGCACTTACCCTCGTTCTGATACAAAGGTCCTGGGAACTTTGGAAGTGGCCTATTGAACTATTGCCTGAGTCGGCAACAGAACAAAACAAGACTCCTAGCTAAGTGAAACTCAACAGGTATCATGCGCCGGACGCACATAAAAGGTAACAAAGATTTCTGCGAATACCTTAAACCCTTAGCTTAGCTCCGTCTTTTTATGGGCATAATAAAATATAAAACTCAACATACATGTATAGAACGGTGGCTATGCGCCATAAGTTAGAAGATAATGGTAAATAAGACGAGAACTCTGACAATTTTTGAACCTGTGCAAAAAGTATCAATTTAACTATCTCTTCTTTTTGAAGTAGTAACATGGCAGAAATAAATTTCATGCAGATGATCCGCAAAAAAAACCAAGAAGACACAGAAAACTAAAGCATTTTGTTCGAGACAACTACTGTCTTTCAATTATTAAAATAAGTTTACTTTAATTTATTTTTTTCGGATCGTCCACCATGAAATCAGGAATGCTCTCCTTTACTTTCTCCACGGCCTAATGTGAGTTGCACGAAGACCTCTGATCTTGTCAGTAACTTTCTGCGTAGAATATTTTTGTATGATGTCTTTATGGCCGCTCTCGTTCAATCGCTATACAACATCTTTTGATTCAATCTTTTGACTGCCTTGAATCAAGTCCTTAAAAAGGTTTGAAAAGACCATCACCTCCTCTTCTTCAAAAACTCTCGATTTTCCTTGAGTTGTAGTTGGACTTATAATTGAGTTAGAGTCGCTCGCATTGTCATTACAATCGCCGGCCTCCACGTCTTCAAAAAGAGAACCCTGAGATTTCTTGAACCTGTACAATCCTCTCACTTTGTCCAACGGTCTTTTTTTTTCACAGTCTACGAGCAGTGGATTTGTGCGCTTAAGAGCAAGGACTTCCCGTAACGTAATTGATTGGCGGCTGATATTATCTGCGAAGGTTTCTTTTATTGCTCTTTCCTCTTCCTTTGTCTAGGTCTGGCGGACCGGAGGTACAGTTACCGCATCAAGATCACCATCATCTTTTCCTTCAGGAGGTGAATCAAAATCATCTTTTCTCATACTAGGTTGCTCGATGTCTTCATTTTTGCTACGTGATGGTACAGCAGGAGAACTCGGCCTACCATGCATTACGGCCGTCAATTGCCTAGCAGCGAAAGCGGAGTTTGTGCGCTTTTGCACGAGATGATAGTGCTTATGTGCAGTTCGTTCAGTGTGTGCCATATGTGCGGCGACATTACCCTTGACCTCTTTATTGTACTGTCGAATTGCTGTTGTGCATGACTTCCTCATTAGTGTTCCTGAGATACGTGTTTCCTTATCAATCATACCACCCTTTCGCCAGGCGCTTGTTATAGCTGATGACAGATCGCTGCTCTGCATCTTCGCTCCTTTCCAGTTTAAGAACAAGCAAGTGGATCCACCACCCTTCACAACTTGCTGCCTTGCGTGCTCGACATAAATGTCCAACCAACCTTTGAGGCATTCATCGAAGCAGAGATTTGCTGGCCCATGCTAACTGTATGTTTTATGATCTTTAACAGAAATCATGTATGTTCCATCGACACAGCTTATTTCCTTGTACTCATCTACAGTCCTGTTCGTTATGACACCGCTGCTATGCCCATTCTGGGAAAGCAGGTGTATGAACAAGAAGTTTCTCAAATCACAGTACTCAATTTGGCCTAGAGGTGTAGAATTCTGGCCTTTGTCTATGAAATCGCCAATGACCTTGACTTGATTACGAACAAACTCTGACTTAGCAAACCCTTGAACCTTTTCTGGGCTAATAAGACGTGCAAGATCTTCTTCTTGTTTCTCCCAAAATCTCTCTTTAACCTCTTTACGAAGACTTTTACACCACTGCCTACATTTTTTAAAGAGGGCGTCTGCCGTTTTTTCACATCCTCGGGGAAGCCCGATGTCATCCTCGGTTGTAGCAAACGTATAAAACTTGCACAAAGAATGAAGATAACTGATTGAGGTTGCTGCCTTGTGCGACGCTCTCGACTCTGGATAAAACTTGTCGCGAATTAGAGCCTTGTCAAACAAGCTTTCAACGGTTTGTGTTCCTATTATCGACAGTATTGTCTCCACTTGTCGCACCACTAAATAAACATAAATATTATCATTTCTAATTTAAAAGACAGTTAGATATTACTAATAACTACCTCTGACGTGAATTTCACGTTAAGCGATTGAATACAGCCTTTTGTATTTCGATTTGCGTTTGAAAACACACTTTTCAAATTCTTCGCAAAATTTTCCCTT